GCTGTACCAGAGCGCCGACCCCTCGGCCTCGGCCTCCGCCTCCCCCAACAAGCTGCTGGCGCTGAAGGACGTGCGGCACGTGAAGGAGGAAACCACCCTGGACGAGAAGCTCTTCCTGCTCGCCTGCGACAAAGGTACCGCGGCCCGTGGGGGTGGGGGCGGGGCCGGGCCGTCCCTGCACGTCGCTGTCCAGGAGCCTGAGGCGCCCATCTCGGGGCGGCGGGTTGAAGGCTGTGGCCTTCTGTGGAGGATTTACTCGCGAATTTAACGATCGGATCCTCTGCCGGTGTGTTGTAAACTAGGCCTCTTTTTTTTGACACAGACCAACAACGATAGGATACACTAGTTCCCCGCGCTTCAGCAAACGTGTGTCCACAGCATAATTTGTGTATCGTGTATTTTACCGTATAGGCGTGCATGTGTGTATTTTGTAAACGGTAACTTGACTGACATCGTTTGGAAGGAGAAGAGGGCCGTGCTGAGCGAGGCGAGAAGGAGGTGCAGGACTTGTCCAGCTGCAGTGGGAGGGGTGGAGATCTTGGGCGGCGATACCAGTGTAGCTCCATGCAGTACAGATCTGCCCTGTCTGACACGGTTCAACTTCCGCCTCTCTTTGGAGACTACTTGGAAGCTGTTGCCCCCTTTTTCAAAAAGTCCCATTTGTCCTTTTCTGAATTCCAGCTTAGGAAGGGGGGAGCAGACTCAACTGGCATTAATTTCCCATTTGATGGGAGCAGCTGTTGGCCGCTTAGCTGTTTGTCAGCGTTCGTTGTTTTGTTCATGGATCGTTGGTATTTATGTTATGTCAAATGAAACCTTAGATTTATGAGTATGTACTTTGTATGCTATGTTAATTGATAAAATACTGTGACAAACTTCAGAATATTTCCCAATAAAACAAATCTAAGACATTCATATGGTGCTTGTTTAGGTGATTATTACATGGTTAAGAGACTGTTGGAAGAGAACAGCTCCGGTGAAATGAACATAAATTGCGTGGATGTGCTTGGGAGAAACGCTGTTACCATAACCATTGAGAATGAAAATTTGGACATACTCCAGCTTCTTTTGGATTATGGTTGCCAGGTACAGAACTCTCTTTGTTTGACTGAAAATTTTAAACACTCTTCTATAGTATGCATACTTACCAGGATGGATAAAAATGAATGATTTTTTTTTAACTTTTAAAAATCAGATTTTTTAAAATTTAATCAGATTTTTTAAAATGTAATCAGATTTTTTATTTTTTTTAATGCTTTAAAAAATCCTCTATAAAGATATGTTAAAGCTCAAAGAGATCATCTTGGAATAGGGATTTATAACTTCTAATTATATACTATTTGAGGCAATTCATTAATGTAACCTTCTTAGTGAAGTATTATAAATATGGCATAACAGGCCATGGACTGTATTAGGGGCCCAATCTTATGAGGTTCCCAGAGGCTCCTCTATAGATTAGTAAAGATTAAAAAAAAAACACTCTACCCAATGGGACACAGCGCTCAGCGTAAAAGATCCCATTAAGCATCTCTGTGATGCTTAGTTTCAGTTCTCAAACTCTGGATTTGTGTCTCCAGAGAGAACATCCTTGTTAATAGCAGTGTCTGAAGATGAAAGAGAACAGACCTGATCAGCCCTCTTGTCTTTCTGCAAGTTAGTATACACAGAGTCAAGCCCTTATCTTTCTCTAGAAGTACAAAGTTTCAAGAAGTTAAATGAATAGCGAATATCAAACAAAAAGAATGCACTTTTTATAGAAAGCAATGATTAAATCAGGGCTTTCTGACCAGTGATTTAAATCCATTTGATTTAAATGAAATTCACCCTGATATTTTCCTTTTTGTTGTCATTGATTTGTCTTGCGCTTCTAGAAACCAAGGGTAGGGAGTACTGCTTTAGCTATCAATTTTGTCCCTTTTCAGGGAGGGATTTTAATTTTTCTAGGTCTGCCCAGTGGCTCTAATGGAGTTTCATTAACAGAGCATATTTACTTATCTTCCTATATTTGGTTGTTCATGCTTTAGAGTCAGTGCACACATTGTCTCCCAAACTTATTATTTGCAACTATTGTAGTGCAGTTGCATACCCTTAAAGTCTTTACAATACAGTGGGCACTTTGCCACTGGATTATAACCATTAAGGTGTGTAAAAATTGGAGTTCTACTCCTTAATTCAAGCATATACAGCGCTATAGTTCAGAGTTTGCATTCAGTGTATTGTAAAATAATGATTATGATGAATTCTACTATAAACCTAGAAGGTAACAGTGGTATAATACATTTTTTCCATATAGTTCAGAATTTCAAACCATTCTCCCCCCCTGCCCCCATGTTACAGTTAAAATAAAGCACAATGTAGAACTTTCTCTCTGGAGAGAAGTTTATATTGGTACAGTGATCGTCATCTGAATTTTGCATTTTGACTTAAAAACTATCTTAACCTCTTAATTCCTTGATTTCTTCTCTACTTTGGGGAGATGTTGGTCCTTGCAGCAATAGGTAGCTTTCCCTCCAAGTTTGATCTGTCTCTTGTGGCAGAGGGCCAGCTTCCTCAAGGATCTTTTAGACAGTGGAAAATTGTCCTACCTAACAACACTTCCTTAAAATATGCTATTGCTGAGAAGGGATACTTCATGCCATGTTTCTTTCTTCAGATTTTTAACCAAAAATTTAAAGTTTTCAAAGAACTTAAGGAGCAGTATAAATTGCAATGAGAATTAAAAATTGGCAGGAACCTAATGAAAAGCTACCATCCCTGGCAACAAACCTGCTTTTACCATTGTGGTCATGGAATCTGAGAAATAGAACTAAGTGGGATCTTGAGAGATCATATAATCCATGGCCCTGCACTGACCTATGATTCTTCAGGTTCTTCTATTTAAAGATAGGTATTATGTTTGCCTTTCTTTAGTCCAGTATAGAAACTGATATCTTATTCTTATTTCTAAAAGAAAAACCTGCTAACTGTTTCCTGAAGGTAAATAGGAAATGCATTTTTAAGGTTGCTTTCACAAATGGTATATGCTGTTGAAAGCAACAATTAATCTGTAATAAGAGCTGAAAAATTATGGAGGCTGGGAAAAATGTTTCCAAGCAACAGAATCATTAGACCAGCATGAAGACTTTATAACACTGGATGGCTGTCATCTTATCTTATTTTTCTGGTTTGCCTCCTAGGTCAGGTTTTGATCTCCAGGCTGGACTTCGTGTGCATAACATTAAAAACAGCAAGGATCCAAAGACTCTTCCTTCACCCCTCTTGAATGGCTTGTGCTTCTTTTTCATATTCCAGACAGTCTAAAATATGGGCACTGCAAATGGCTTTCTGCATTTGTCATTCTTTGGTACTTCTTGATAACATCATAGCACCCCCTTGTACTCCCTTTGATCTTCAGTCCTGGAGATCCATTGAGAAGAATCATTTTTAGCTTTTCACAGTTTGGTTATACAGGTTTCCCACTCTTTATGCTGTACATGCGTTCCTGGAAAACGGCACATGATTTGAATTTGCATAAAGGGAACCCACTTTACCATGTAACAAATAGGAATACATTCCAAGACCTTGACTGTACTGACCCCCAGACCCCTTTCTACCACTTCTACAAGACAATTTTGGTACTCACCCATAGCAGACAGTACACAAAAGGACAGGGTTGTGGTGAATGTTTAGTTGGTGTGAAGAGAGGGTGGTGAAAGGTCTTCAGTGTCAGACTCCACGTCCTGGTAGTTCATACAGGTTGGGTAACATCCATAGGAGAATCCATAGGCATGGGGCTCTCATTACCCTCCAATATCAGTGGGGTGGGGCTGGGGATAGCTGAGTGAGGCTTCATGAACTGGTACATGGTGCACTGCCTCACTGATTATTGGATCTGGGCATACACCTCCTTGTAGGGACCAAGGAGAGAGTTCAAACCATGATTAAATTCTAGGCTCCTGTTCAGGCTAGGGTCCAGATCTAGGGCAAACTGAGCAAGTTTCTCAGCCTGTGCAAAAAACTCTGCCAGCTTCTTAATAGTCATGTTCTTGACCTCGAGAACCACCTCTTGCTCCTGTTTCTCCTCTTCCTTAGCAGCAGCTACAATCTCTATCAGTTCATCAATACTTAATTCCTCATTGTGGGAATCGATGAGCTCCATGACTTCAGCCTCCTTGAGGTCTGAAAAGCCATCTCCTCCCACCTTTTGTCCAAGATCAATAACCTTTCGAACAGTTGTGCACAGTTTGAGGGAGCCCTGGGAGACTATAACACATTTCTTCGAGAGAGGCTTCCAAGCACTGTTTATGGTAGTGGACTTCACTTCATCCCATGAAGCCTTAATGCTGTTGATGGTATCCCTCACATTGTATGCCTTCCACCACTCACGGATTGTTGGCTTGTTGGGTCCATCAGTATCCTCCAGCAGCTGGGAGATGCTCCTTCTTAGGTAGTAGGTCTTGAATATTGATATCACACTCTGATCAAGAAGCTGGATCAGTGAGGTCATGTTAGGGGGGTAGGAACAGGATTCTCACATTGGGGTTGATAGTTTCCAGGGGTTTAGGGTGTCCAGGGGCATTGTCAAGGATGAGCAACACCTTAAATGCAAGATTAGCCTCCCTGCAATAGCGCTGTACCTCCATGATAAAATGTTAAGCAAACCAGTCCTCAAAAACTTGGGCTGTCACTCATGCCTTCTTGTTTGCAGCCCAGTGTACAGGCACCGTGTTCCTACTCAGTCCTTTTAATGCATGTGGGTTTAGGGAGTGGTAGACTATCAGTGGCTTACACCTAAAATCTCCAGCAGCATTGCCACACAGTAGGACAGTCAGCCTGTCTTTTGCTGCCTTGAACTCACTTGCAACCTTCTCTTCCTTGGAGATGCGTCTTAGATGGCATCCACTTCCAAAACAGCCCCATCTCATGGGCATTCAGAACTTGCTTAGGACTGTACCCCTCAGGAAACTTTGCAGCAGCTTCATAATCAGCACTTGCAGATTCCTCAGTCATCTTATCACTCTGCAAGTTCGTACATTGAAGGAACTTGTCAAACCAGCCCTTACTAGCCACGAAGGACTCCTCAAGGCCACCATCCTCTTGAAGCAGGCAGCTATAAATTTGCAGGGCCTTACCTCCTATCACAGCAGAGGAAAGATTTATCTTCTGGGTCTTATTTTCCACCCACACCCCCAGCATCTCCACCTTCTCCAACAGCTGGTTCCTTACTCTCGTTGCTATCTTGGCAGCAAGTGGTATAGAATGCATCACAGAACTCCTTATGTTGTCAGCATTCTTCTTGATGGCACATATGGTTGACTCACCCAGGTTGAATGCACAACCAAGTGCAGAGGGCCCCTCACCAGCTTCTGCACGGTTCAAAATCTCCAGTTTTGTCTCCAGTGTTAGTGAAGTTCTCTTGCGCTTCATTGATGGACCAGGGACCGGGGGGAGGGGTGGGAGAGAGGCTCGCGGCACCCTTAGAAGCCATAGCGGCTGCAGCTGCCCAAGAGCGGCCGTCGTCACGTGCCTACAGCTGCACCCTGGGCCTCCTGCTGCAGCTGCCCTGGGAGCGGCCGACACCACCTGCCTGTGGGAACAAGCGGAGGCCCCAGGGGTACAGGGCACAGTACAGCCCAGCAGATGCTGGCAGGTGGCATCAGTTGCTCCTGGGGCCGCTGCAGCAGGGGCTGGGGTGAGTGGGGATCAGCAGAGGCTCAGGGGTTTTGGGGCACATTGCAGCCTGCAGGCTGCTGGCGTTGGCCGCTCCCAGGGCTGCTGCAACAGGGGCTGGGGTGAGTCGGGACAAGCTGCACCGTCCCTGCTGGGCCTCCGCTTGTCCCCACTTGCCCCAGCCCCTGCTGCAGTGGCCCCAGGAGCAGCCAATGACAGCTGCCTGCACCACAGCACAGTGTGGCCCAGGGGCCTGGGATGAGTGTGGACAAGCGGAGCCCCGGGGGGTTCGGGGCACGGTGCAGGTCAGCATCTGCAGGCAGCTGGGGTCAGCCGCTCCCAGAGCAGCTGCAGCAGGAGCTGGGGTGAGTGGGGCCCTTGCCCCATGGCCCTTTCCCTTCCCCCCACAGACTTATCTGCTCTGGGGGGACACCTATGCTGATTGCATAAGACTTAATTTAACTCGCCTGTAATGAATTTTGGGTATAAAAAGGGTCATTGCATAAGAGCAAATGTGCACATGCAGAACCCGTATAAAACAAGGGAAACCTGTACTCCAGCAATCGGTAGTGCTATTTTGACTGGATGAATGATCCTGTGTTTGAATCCTCAGCCTGTACATGTTGTGGTAGCATAATAATGGTTGCATTGCAGCAAGGTGTCTTATTATGATGCACAATCCAGTATTGGTTTCTAGCTACAATCAATGCCTTTACCTAAATTAAGACAATTGCAGACTTCGTCCCTTAAGAACAGTAGCTTTGGAAAAGCTTGGATGACTTTAGTTTTTACCTTTTATCATGATGTTTTTAAGATGCTTTTATTGTAAAATAAATTAGGCATTCATTTTCTTCAGCCTCATTATTTTATGGCAGCCTTTAATTACCTCTAGTTCTTTGTAATGTAGTTATTTGCATTGTTTTTTGTTTGTTTTGTTTTTTTAATTCTGTGACGATTCTATCTAATTTAGCGTTACTTCAATTTGATCTATTTCTCTTTTCAGTCATCAGATGCACTTTTGGTTGCTATTGACTCGGAAGTAGTGGGAGCTGTTGATATACTACTTAATCATCGACCAAAACGATCTTCAAGACCAACTATTGTAGTTGAGTATTCTTAATTCATGCTAGCTTGGGTTGGTACAGCAAAATTGAGTCTTCAGTGAAACTGCTATTCAAGACAGCCTTAAATGAAGATTCTCATGTGTAAGAGAGCAAAATTTGGACCTTGTTCTTCATGATTTTTTTAACAGCTTTTTATCCTTAGAGGCTTTTATTGATCATAGGCATCCAGTAGGTTTATAGATGCCTAACATTCATTAAGGTTTGAGTTAATGCTATCCTTATAATTACTGTATTGCAAACAAAGAGAAAAATTACCAGTATTTATCACTTTTGTCATATAAATAATAGGCAGCACTGACCTATATTTTGGGAAAACGTCACTGAACATTAAAGTCTTACCTGACATTTCTGTCTTCATCTTAAAAGTATTTTTTTGGGGTCCTGCTTTACAATCCTTAGGTATTCAGCTGCTATTAGACAGTTATTGAGTATAACATTTTTTTAATTAAGGATTATTTTTAATATTGCTGCAGAGGTTGCACCTGTGTGTGAATCAGAAAGCAGTATTTCTTCTATACTAGGATGAGGGGGGACACCCAAATAAGAACTTAACACTGACTTATTAATAAGGATGTAAACAGGGTAAAAGATACTGAATTCTAAATTCCCAGGAAAAGCTCTAAGCAATTTTCTTTCTTCAGAATAAGATTCCCTTTATGAGGTTCATTCCAGAAGAACACATTCTACCTATATAGAAAACATTTTTCTTCTAGCTTTCTTTTTTTTAAGAGAGAATTTAAATGAAAAGAGAGGCTATGAAATAGATCACATGACAATAATTTTTCTTTCAGCAGTCTATCAGGTCTCTCTCTCCAAGGTACAAAATTGTTGCAACTTCTGGGCAGTTAGCTCATGAAGTAAGCGTAGCTATGAGTGAACCTTAACGTTTGATGTATTACCAAAACCATCTTCAACACTTACACTTTTTCCTTGCGGCGTTACTAAAATTGTAAGGATTCCAACTCTTGAGTATTCTTTGTTGGTACAATACAAAACAGAGTTCAATGGTGATTGCATGCATCTAGTTTATGAAATATGTATTTTATTTTGTGTTTTGAGAGACTAACAAACTGTAGAGGAAAACAAAGTCCTGAGTGAGCTGACCAGAACATTATCATCTCTAAATCATCAATATTAAAAAAAAAAAAAAAAAAAAAAGCAAAGAAAAGCTAGCTTTTTATTATTACCTTTGCAGCATGAGAATTTTTCAGTTTTGCCGTACTTTCCTTTTGGTAATGTTATTTGCTCATGAGTCTCCTAAATTAATAGAACATATGGAAAAGGCACATTTTTTGAAAGATGGAAATTGCATTACAGAAGAGTGAGTTTGGATTTTAAAATTAATTAATTAAAGAAGAAGAGAAACCATTCGTTTGATTGCACAACGTTTTTTTGAGAAGTAATGCAATATAATGCATTTCCCATACAGCATTTGGAGGAAACTGCTTTTCTTTTCCATTGATGTCATTACAAGTAATGTTGGCTTCAAAAAATTAAATGCTTGTTCTCCATAGTAAATATGAATTTAGTGTTGCTGAATGACCAAAACAAAATTACCTTAAAGACTAAAGTTCTTTATCATCAGAACAGTATCTTCAGTAACATGGGGTTAGTTCTTATTCTTACTGCTTAAAAATACAGTGTATTAATTTTAGGGGTGTACCGATAAAGATTTTCTTGGCCGATACCGATAGCCAAATATTAACTAGGTATATCAGCTGATGCCAATCTGATAACGGATTTACAGGAATGCAGCTGGACATAATGGAGAGCAGTTCCTTGCAGATAAGTCTGTGGAGGGGGAGGGGCAGATAGCGGCCCGCACAGTGAGGGAGGGAGTGGGGCAGGGGCTGGGGTTGGAGGCACTGCCCAACCAGGGCAGTGAATGGGACCTGGGACAGGGAGTGGGACAGAGCCGCGGGCAGCACTTCCAGAGGATCAGCATCCCAGTGCTTAAAAATGGTTGTGGGGGTGCTTGAACTAAAGATTGGTGAATGAGCTATAGTTCAAGTGCTGCTGCCTCCATTTTTAAGCATGGGGACGTTTTTAACCAGAGCCAAGTGGGGCAAGGGCAGTTGTGGGCTGCTTGCTGTGGGCTCGGGGTTCTATGCCCTGCTGCCTTTGCCCCAGGGACCCCGTGCTGGCCGTGCAGCGGGAGGCACAACTCACCGCCCTCTCTGCTGCCAATTGGGCAGGGGGTGTGCAGCCAGTGCACAGATCCTGAGGGAAAGGCAGGAGAGTGGAGAGCCCTGAGCCCTCAGAGAGCATCCCATACCTGCCCTGTGCACAAATATGGGGGTACCTGCCTCCCCTGGGGGGGTGCGCAGTGATGGGGAGCCGCTCCTGGCTACTTGCATGTGTTTGCATCTGAGGCCCCCACCAGAAGGCATATTATATTTATCAGTTAACATTATTGGCTCCCCTGGCCAAAAAAAGCCAATAACTGATAATGTTAGTTTTCCTTTTATCAGTGCCAATCTAATAGAGCACTGATATATCGGTGCACCTCTAATTAATTTTTCCATTTGAGAAAAGAAATGAGACAAAATACACTATGCTTGTATCTTTAAGAGTCAAACAATTTCAGGTGGTGTTTAGGTGATTTTCTTTTCTTTTGAATTGTGTGACAAAGCTCAGAGTGGAGAAATGTTTTAAATCAGAAATTCTCTGGATCCTGTGTTGAGCAGCCTAAGTTAGTTTATGGGTAAACTGTTATATTCAGCTTTATTAAAATCCCAACTGCATGTTTTTATGTTATTTCAGAAACTAATGGAACGTATTCAGAACCCAGAGTATTCAACAACCATGGATGTAGCACCTGTCATTTTAGCTGCTCATCGAAACAACTATGAGATCCTTACAATGCTATTGAAACAGGATATATCGTTACCCAAACCTCATGCTGTGGGCTGTGAATGCACACTGTGTACTGCAAAAAATAAGAAAGATAGTCTACGGCACTCCAGGTAAGAGTATTAGTTCTTGGTAATAACTAGAAATCCTTAGCGTAGTCTGGTGGCATCATGTGCGTTAGGTTCAATATGTCTTTGTTTATGATTGGTTTATGGATATGTTTTTAAGAGTTAGTTAAACTAGAAAAGTAGAAGAACTCTCTTTCACTGAGGAATACCTTTCCCTTATTTTTCTTACAGTTACTCTTAGCTGAAATCGTATATGGAGAATAGTTGATAGCCCATTGCATGGATTTTGTGCTTTTTGTAGTAAGGGAAGTCTCCATTATGCTTGAGTATTAAATGAATTTCAGGAGCTTGTTTAAAAAATTCTTATTTACCCATATTTCAGCAGGAGTATGGTGCTTTCCATTGGACTCTCCTGGTGCTGTTGGCAAACTGTAACCTTATTGAGACAAACCATTATCCATAGTTGCCTCATAATATTGAGTAAACGCTTCCATTTGAACTTGCATATGTATCAGTATGCATTTAGAAGGTTCCTTTGGCAAAACTAATAGAACTATCTTTTTGTTTGTAATTTTGAAATGTTTGTGGCTTAGGGTTGAAAAGAGACCTTGTTAGCATTATCTTAGGTATTTTTTTCCAGATGTCTGGCCTTATTTAATATTTGTCAGTGTTATCCTCTCAGAAGCATAAATGTTGTGCTTAGTCACCTACCTTAGCCTTCTGAGGTCTTTTATTGAAAAAGTGTTATACCAATGCATAATAATAATATAAGGTAAGACTATGCTTTTTGAATAAATAGAAACTATTTTTTATATTTTAATACATGAGAGTTCTGTTTGAATTGTATCTTGGCAAAACCACGTTTTGAATGATACAGAGCTGACAGTAAAAAAAATACATAAAAACTGGAGAATGTAAAAGCTTCTCTAATAGGACTATATCTTTCCCCTATAAGAAAATAAATCCCATTGCTTAAGATATGAGTGATTTTGATAGCTCTTTGTTGATGTATGATGTATAAATACTTCGCCAAATTCTGTCTGCATCTAGGAGTAGTTCTAGTTGAATAAATATAGTCATAGCTTTTATTTTTGAAGTCTTGTGAAGGATTAAATTTTTGCTTTCTTTCTTCATATAGTTCAGCCATTTAATTCAGTTCATTAGTTAGTACACAGTAAAATATCTAATGTTGGTGAGTGCGTACTGCTGGGACCTGTTCTGATTTCCACTTCGTTGTAGTCCATAACATTTAAATGGACAAGAGTGTACAGGCATGTTTTTGCATATTAATCATAGTCCTCTTCTGGAGGAGAGAGACTTCCATGGTTCCAGCAAAGAATTTCCCACAGTCCCAGCAGTTCATTCACTATTTGTTATATATTTTCATTAGCTGTACACCCATTCCTCCCACCCCTCTCCTTGTAATAATGCTTTCTAACTAAATTATTTTTGGTCATGAAAGTTTGGGGTTTTTTAATTACTAATTTTCTGCCTGAAGGTGAATATCCACATGAAGAGATTAAACCATGCTGCTTCCAACTTGTCTCTTGAGGGAAGTGCAGTCTTGGTCAGAATGGCAGTGATTAAGACGGCTCTTTCGTCTTGATGGACAGAGGGAAGCAAAAGTGCCTCTGCTCTTTCTTCTAAATAAAGAGGAGAAGGGGTTGTTCCCACAGGTCTTTCTTATAGGTCTGAGGACTGCATGTGAATGTGTGAGGGGAGAAAAATTAGACAGGACTGTGCCTTCCTGAGTAAAAGCCTCTCTGACCCTGCCTGTCTGGCTGGTGAATGGTATGGCAGATGGTAGATTTCTGTTTAGCCCCACCCTTCCCTATTAGGTGGGGTCCACACAGTTGCACTTACTTATTTTAGCTTGATTGTGTATAGTTGCCTGGCTGTTCTAACAGAACGATCACAAGCATATCTATAGGATGAACAGAACAACCCCCCACAGTTGCGCTGATGTCCTGGTACCACTGAGTTTGATTTGGAATTTCAGTAGTGAGTATCTCCTGCCCTTGTTTTCTGGGTAACAGTCTTTCTGCTATCTTGGACAGTCTTGCTATACCGGACTTCAGTAACTCAGGTAGCCGAAATGCGTGGGGCATTTTTGTATGCTTTTCTACAGTGTTTTGGGATGTTTTTGATATAGTTGTGCCACCATCTTATTAAATCAGTTTCTCTCGTCTTTTATTTCCAGTGTCCCGTGATCAGCGTTATGTAACAACAGCAGCATTAAAATGTGTGACCTTTAAAAGTGTTGCGGTCTAATAGGAGCAAATTTTGTCTTAGTTGATACCTTCTGCTCCTATAAGTCCAGTGGTAGCAGCAGGGAGAAGGAGCTTGTATCACACAAGGCTTCCATATTGTCTATTTGAAATAACGCCGGTTATTTGTGTTTGGAGGGCTACAAAATCTTTTCATTTTTTTGAGAAAAGGAACATTATGTTAACATTACCGTTATTAAACAATATTAACATTATATTAATAACATTTCATTTAAAAAAATAAATGACCCACTGCGTTGTTTTTGGAGTTAAAAGAAGAATAAAAATTGTTTTAAATACTTACGTGGAAAAGTATATGAAAGTTTTCTTTTTACCTTTTACTGGTTGCAATTCACTTTACATTTGATTTAAACCACACTGAAATGATGCTTGTGGGATATAAGTAGATTTTTTTGTTTGCTGTAGTTTCTCTTTAAATTTTTGCTTGAGATTCTGCAAGCTTTCAGAACATACTCTGTTTGAAAATGTTAATCAAATGAAATGTCTTGATCCCAAGAAGTTATCTTACTCTCTGAACTTTTGTCACAGGTTTCGTCTTGACATCTATAGGTGTTTGGCCAGTCCGGCTTTAATAATGTTAACAGAGGAGGATCCTATCCTAAGAGCTTTTGAACTTAGTGCAGACTTAAAAGAATTAAGTCTTGTTGAAGTTGAATTCAGGTATGAATGAAAGGGAATACACGCTTACAGTTAACTTTTGTTTCAGTATAGTTATTTCATGTAAAAACACAAAAATAACTCACTGATGTTTCAATAAGGTGTACAAAAGAGAAAATAACAATGTTTTCCTTCTCTCTGTTTAGTACAGGGGCGAGAAATTATTTTGGGTGGAGGGCCTCTTACCCAGTTTTGGCAAGCTGTCGAGGGCCGTATGGGTAGCCCTGCCCCTTGACAGGTGCCCTGCCCCCTGGTCAGCATCTTGGGACCAGTGCCCTGGGACCAATGTCCCAGGACCAGTGCTGGCAGGGCCCAGAGCAGGGCATAGGCTGGCAGGGGTCCGTGGAACCAGGCTGGGATGCACCAGCAGGGAGAGGGGGGAACTGGCCTGGGTCCATAGAGACCCTGCCAGTCGGGACCCTGTACTCCTGCCGCCCAGCTCTGGGCCCCACTGGCGCTGGCCCCAGGACACCAGTGCAGGTCCCACGCTCTCGCTGGCTCCTGTGCCTGCTCACTCCCATTGCTCCCCCCAGTCCCGCGGTACAGGTGTGGGACCGTGCACAGCTCCAACCCCGCGCTCGCCAGCGGAGAAGGAGCTGGTGCTGAGCGTGGGGGGGGGGAAAGTGGCCGTTCTCCTACCCCGTGGGTGGCACTCCTTGCTGCAGTCACTCGCAGCCTGCACGGGACTGTCCTGAGCAGACGCAGGCAGCCCCACGTGGGCTGCAAGCAGCTGCAGTGTGGGGTGCCGGCGTGGGGTTCCATCTTTGACAGGAACCAAGGACAGATAAATATAAATTTTTAAAATTTCTTTAGGGGCCCTATGGGCCGTATTTTAGCCACCCCTGGTTTAGTAGCAACTCTAGCAATTTTTTTCAAATGAGTCATAGGTTTTAAGCCTGGGCTATAGTTCAGCCTGGGGAAATTGACCATTAGGTGGCTAACTTTTGACTTCTGTGTTACGGGGTAAAAATAGTCAATTAAAGGGTGCTCTGGGAAGCAGGGAAAACTTTCTTTCCCTTCCTAGCAGGAGATAGCATTGTTATTCCAGGAGGGAAAAGGATAGTGAGGATCAGAAAAAGCTCAACAGCGGGCATGTCTACATGAGACATTTATTGCAAGTAGACTAATTAGCTCCTCGGTAAACATCTCACATCTACATGTGCGGCCCTATTAGGCCACAGGAAACTAATTAACCTTGCAGCCAGGTAGTACTTGTAATACCTTATCTTCATTGGAGGTTTTCAAGAGGAGGCTAGGTAACTTGACAGGGATGGTTTAGGAATAGAGCGTTCTACATTTATGCAGAGGGTTGGACTAGATTACCTTTGAAATTACTTTCCCAGCCCTGTGATCCTAAAGTTGGACTCTTCCTTGACATTGCTTTAATATTAATATTAAATCCCTTGCATCACTTTGTCCTTTTCTGGTTTGAGATCTACTTTAGTAATGCAGCTGCTAACATATGACGTGAGTCATGACCAATAGTTGAATTATGGTTTGTTTTTTACAGCTCAGTAGCTGTATGTTAGATGTTTTACAATCGGGCATTTGATCATCGAAGTGGGAAAGAGCAGTGTGTTAGACTAGAGTTATCAAACTCTCCTGGGGCCCTGGGCTGGAACTAGACTGCAGGATCACTTGTGGGCCACATCTGACCAAGGGCATGAGGGCTGCTGCAGTGGCTATTGCAGTTGTATGAGGGTCCACCAGGAATGGGGCGATGCAGGGTCCAGTGGATGCAGGAACAGTGCAGGGTCTGGCAGTGGCAGAAGAACAGGGTTTAAGTGGGCAGGGGCACTTTAGGGTCCAGTGGCAGCCAGAGCAAAGGGTCTGGTGGGGTGGGGTGGGGGTGGTGCAGGGTCCGGTGGTGGCCAGAGCACAGGGTGCAGGGTTCAACAGGTAGAGGCGGTGCAGGGTCCAGCAGCAGCTGAAGCAGAGGGCCCAGCAGTAGTGTCATTAATTCCCATGGTTACCAGAGTTGCTATTTCAGCATGGCTCCAGAACCAAGAGTGTTAGCGTCTCTCGGATCACTTGTCCCCATGCCCCGTCACCTACTGCAGAAACTGGGGTTTTTAGGCTAAAATTGGCAGCAGTGGTGTTAACTCCCTGGCTTCCAGTCATGCTGAAACAGCAGCCACAGAGGTGAATGCCAGTGCTGCTGTTCACAGGTCACCTAGACTCCAAATCCTCATTCTGGATTTGGCCCATGAGATCAAATGAATTTGACACCCCTGCTCCAGATGACATACTTCAGTATTGTATTTATAGAATATGAATTCAGTGTTTGATCTGTTTATACTCTATCTGTTCATAATACTTCTTAACATTAACTCTTCATTTTCACATTTCTTAAGCTGCAGCCTGGTTGTTTTCTGCTTTCTGTAATTCAAAGGGAGAAGAGATGTAGGAGAGTTCTCAATCAGCAATTCCTAACATCATCTAGATAAATGTTTTTCTGGGGTAAAAAATATTTTTCTGGACAATTTATAAAATCTGGTTTCTTTATTTGGGCAGTATTCTTTCTCAGCAAGTTTTTCTGTTCTCCATGTGTGCAAGGATAACATGGATTGAGATACAGTAAATGCCTGGTTAGACCAGCCAGTACTGTGGCTTTCTGTTGTACCTACTAACTTCATAAATCACTTTTGGTAAATCAAGTTAACTTGCAGTGGTAGGATTAAAAATAATGATAAAATGATCAGCGTTTCTTTTAATGCTTTAAATTACCATAAATAGATTGTGACTATTAGTACATTTTACACTTTTGGGTATTTGAAACTAAATCACCAGTGAAAGTAAGTTTAAATATTACAACGTATAATACTCTGTTTTCATGTTTCCATCAAATTGATGTCTCAGGCATAATTAAAATAAGTTGGTACTCTGAACAGGGAAACTTTCATATAGCAGTCTTCATTATGACATGATTGGAATAACAGAGACTTGGTGGGATAGCTCGTTTGACTGGAGCACTGCCATGGATGGGTACAAACTGTTCAGGAAGGACAGGCAGGGAAGAAGAGGAGAAGGAGTTTCACTTTATGTAAAAGAGCCATATGATTGCTCATATCTCCAGTATGAAACTAGGGATAGGCCTTTTGAAAGTCTCTGGGTTAAGGTTAGAGCGGAGAGCAACAAGGGTGATATTGTGATGGGTGTCTGCTATAGACCACCAGACCAGTGGTGAGAAGTGGTACATGAGGCTTTCTTCAAACAGCTATCACAGGTTTCCTGATCGCACGCCCTGGTTCTTGTGGGGGACTTCAATCACCCTGACATCTGCCAGGAGGGCAGTACAGCAGTGTACAGGCAATCCAGCAAGTTTTTGGAGTGTTGGGGACAACTTCCTAGTGCAAGTGCTGGAGCGGCCAACTAGAGGCCATGGTCTTCCTGACCTGCTGCTCACAAAAAGGGAAAAATTGGTGGGGAATGTAGTAGTGGATGGCAACTTGTGCAGCAGTGACCATGACATGATTGGGTTTAGGATCCTGAGGAAAGGAAGAATAAAGTGAAGCAGAGTAAGAACTCTGAACTTCAGAAAAGCAGACTTTGACTCACTCAGGAACCTCATGGGCAGGATCCCCTGGGAAGCCAGTCTGACGGGGGAGAGGAGTCCAAGAGAGCTGGCTGTACTTGAAAGAAGCCTTACTGAGAGTGCAGGAACAAAACCATCCCAATGTGCAGGCAGACTAGCAAGTATGGCAGAAGACCAGCTTGGCTTAGCAGAAAACTTTTCAGTACACTAAGTCACAAAAAGGAAGCTTGTAAGAAGTGGAAACTTGGACAGTTAACTAGGGAGGAGTATAAGAGTATTGCCTGGTGATGCAGGGATGAAGTCAGGAAGGCCAAAGTGCAATTGGAGTTGCAGCTAGCAAGGGATGTTAAGGGTAACAAGAAGGATCTCTACAGGCATGTCGGTAGTAAGAGGAGGATAAGGGAAAGTATTGGGTCCCTTACTGAATTGGGGAGGCAACCTTGTGACAGAGGATGCAGAAAAGGCTGAAGTACTCAGTGCCTTCTTCGCCTTAATCTTCATGGGTAAGGTCAGCTCCCAGACTACTGCACTAAGCAGTACAGTTTGGTGGGGAGGTGAGCAGCCCTCAGTGAAAGAACGGGTTAGGGGCTATTTAGAAAAGCTGGACATACACAAGTCCCTGGGGCCAGATGGGATGTACCCGAGGGTGCTGAGCGAGTTGGCTGATGAGATTGCAGAGACGCTGGCCATCATCTTTGAAAACTCATGGCAATCAGGAGAGGTCCCAGATGATTGGAAAAGGGCAAACATAGAGCCCTTATTTAGGAAAGTAAAAAACGAAGATCCAGAGAACTACAGTGCAGTTAGCCTCATATTAGTCCCTGGAAAAATCATGGAACAGATCCTCAAGGAATCCATTTCTAAGCACTTTGAGAAGAAGGTGATTAGGAACAGTCAGCATGGATTCACCAGGGGCAAGTCATGCCTAACCAACCTGATTGTGTTCTGTGACAAGGTGACTGGTTCTGTGGATGCGGGGAGACCAGTGGATGTGGTATACCTTGATTTCTAACAAGACTTTTGATAATCTCCCACAGCATTCTCACAAGCAAACTAAGGAAGTATGGGTTGGATGAATGGAGTGTAAGGTGGATAGAAAACTGTCTGGAACATTGGGCTAAGAGGGTAGTAATCAATGGCTTGATGTCTAGTTGGCAGCTGGTGTGAAGTGGAGTGGGAGGGGAGTAAGAGATGCTGGAGGCTGGGGCTAGGATTCAGTGAGACCTAGACAAATTGGAGGATTGGGCCAAAAGAAATCTCATGCAGTTTAACAAGGACAAGTGCAAAGTCCTGCACTCAGGATGGAACAATCCCACGCACCAGTATAGGTTGGGGGCTGACTGGCTGGGCAGCAGCTCTGCAGAAAAGGATCTGAGAGTTACAGTGGACAATAAAGTAAATATGAGCCAGCAGTGTTCCATAGTTGCCAAGAAGGCTAATGGCATACTGGGCTGCATCGGTAGGTGTGTTGCCAGCAGGTCAAGGGAAGTAATTATTCCCCTCTATTCAGCACTGGTGAGGCCACATCTGGAGTACTGTGTTCACTTTTGGTGTCCGCTCTACAGAAAGGATGTGGACAAATTGGAGGGGGTCCAGTGAAGGACAACAAAAATGGTTCAGAGGCTGGGGCACATGACTTATGAGGAAAGACTGAAGGAACTGGTCTTATTTAGTTTGGAGAAGAGGAGACTGAGAGAGGATTTAATAGCAGCCTTCAACTACCTGAAGGGGGGTTCAAAAGAGGATGGAGCTAAACTGTTGTCAGTGGTGACAGATGACAGAACAAGGAGTAATGGTCTCAAGTTGCAGTAAGGGAAGTTTAGGTTACCTATTAGGAAACATTTTCTCACTAATAGGGTAGTAGTAATACACTGGAACAGGTTACCCAGAGAAGTGGAATCTCCAACCTCGGAAGTTTTTAAGACCTGGCTAAGACAAAACTTTGGCTGGGATGATGTAGTTGGGGATGGTCCTGCTTTGAGCAGGGGGTTGGATTAGATAACCCCCTGAGTTCCCTTCCAACCTTAATTTTCTATGATTGTGTCTTCAGTTTTTGAAAGTGCTTGCAATCCCTTATTTGGTAGATCAGACTTGTACAACCTATTTTAAAGTCTATTTTAAGGTTTCCCACCTGATAGATTGAATTCATGTATTAATTAAAGTTTTAAGTGTATTAATTAATGTTTTCTGCTACCATGTTTTCTAGAAATGATTATGAGGAGTTAGCCCAGCAGTGCAAAACCTTTGCTAAAGACTTGCTTGCCCAGGCACGAAACTCACGTGAGCTTGAAGTTATTCTAAACCACACATCTAGTGATGAGCATATAGATAAACGAGGATTGTTAGAAGAGAGGATGAATTTGAGTCGCTTAAAGCTTGCCATCAAGTATAATCAAAAGGAGGTAAGTCTTTCTCTCGCGCTCTGCTGCATATTAATCTGACGCACAGCCTTTTTTATACTGGATTTTACTAGAGATTCATTTAAGTTTTAGTCTGCCTATAGAAATTATAAGAACTGTGACAAGGGACTGAGTGTTAATAGAAAATGTAATACTATGGTCTGGTAATAAAAGCAAAATACCAGATATTTCACCAGTACTTCTTGTACCATATTTACTGCATCAGTTTGCAGAAGGCTATCACTAGGCTACCAAGCGTTGCTGTCTCCAAGGACCTATTAGGTCCTACTACAACAGGGTTCAATTCAAATAAATATACAGCAACCATTCAGTGAGTAAAAACTTACAATTAGCACAGCCTTCATTCAGACTGTCAGCCAGGTGATCAGACTAGGCAGCAGCACGAATGGTGCAGGTTTAAACACAACTCCAACATGCATTTCTATTTACTCTTTTTATACATTGCAAGCATTTATGCAGTGATATGGGTTTGATGTCTTACAATTTTCTGATTTAATGATCTTTATGATTACATATTTTCTCCATACATTTTGATGTCTAATGTACCAGGCTTTGGTTGCACTGTCCTCATGATCAATCATGCTCGAACACAGCAAACATGTTTTTCACATTCTCACTGACCTCCTGTCACACAACTGCGGAGTCTCCCTATGCCTGAAGAAGGTGGTTGTGCCCAAAAGCTTGCAAAGAACTTTGTTCCAACTACTCAGTTGGTCTAATAAAAGATATCGCATCTACCCAAAGAACCTTGCCTGCCTGTCTTTAGACCAACACAGCTACAACCAAAAACCCTGCTTTACAATAAGTGAGGTTTGATGCGCCATACTTGTACAATTCACTGTTCAGTGAACTTGTTTGTTTATGCCATCCCCTACTCACCTGCTGTTTTAGGCTTTGTCATACCGTCCTATGTGCTTTTTTAATCTGTTATGGCAGTTAGTCCTGATTCTATCTATCCCAGGATGTTCTTAAATGGATCTCAGATATTCTGATGCACTCTGTTTTCCACAGAACTTTACACTTTCAGACTTTTAAGTCGTACTGCTCCTAGCATGTCTTATGGCCTACACTAAATTTGATAATTATCCCCATTTTAGTGTTTGTTTTGTCACGTACGTAGCTTGGGTACCTGACCTCCTTTATCCAACTTCCATTTTTATGGGATTTTGTTGTCTGACCCAGACTTGTCTCCATTAATTATTCTGCTACAGCTGTGTTGGTATAATTGTATGGACATTCTGTTCCAGAATAACAAAGATTTTATTAAATCCTGTAGAACTCATCAATAAATGTTCTTTCCATCTCTACCCTTTGGGCGCATTCATCCAGGAAGGACTTAATTTTAAAACCATGCTTTTAGGTCTGACTGCTTGTCTTTGGGACAAAGTATTTCATGGCTGACAATGACACGGGTTGCAAAGGGGATGAGAATGAATTATTCAGCAGTGCTACTGAAGCTGTTTTTATACTATGTCCAGGCCTGGTTCCACATACAATTAGTCTAGGATATTTTCTTTAGATGAGCTTGTAGTTGACTTCTGACTGGCAAGTTCAGGACTCTGCAAGCTGCAGGTAAGAAAAAAAAATGATACTGAATAATAAGTGCCTAGTGGTCACCTGTGTGTTTCATCCTTTAGTCATCACTTGGTTGAGTTTCCATCCCTTTCTTTCTGTATGGTGCATGTTGTCAGAGAATCAAGGTGATCTGTATTGGCACTGTAGAAGAAAGGACCACTGAAGGCTAATGCTGTGTTGGTTATAATCATAATACAGTGGTTATAAATCGCTAGGTCCTTGCCCTTTTCTTATATAATGAGGCACAGCTGAACTTAAGCATTTTTAGGAATATGAGGAGGTACATAACTCTTGAGAGGTGAATCAAGATAATGGGTCTATTTTGCTGCTTGGAATCTAGGAGACCTGACAGCTACTCACGAGGCAGTTACTTTTTTCCGTGATGCTAGCTGGGTTGTGATGTTCTTAATACCTGGTTTGAAGATCGGGTCCAAAACATGACCAGTTGTTTGGATTGACCTGGTTTGATGTGTGAAGTTCTTAGGGAAGCATTACAATGGTCTGTGTGAATCAGTGTTTATAACTGTTAAGTCTTTGGTAGCTAACTAGCCTTAAATGCTCATTCAACACCTTATAAATTCAAGAGGGCCTCTAAGGGAAGTGTAGAGCTGTTAGGCTCTACCTTCCACAACAAATCTTGATTTTTCTTTTTGACCACTACTATCTGGATTATGAGTGCTCTGAGGCAGAGGCAAGTATACAGCTGTACATTATATTGTTTGTACCCCCATGAATAAACACTTGTCCCACTTTTTATCTGGGTATCCAGAACAGTGCAATTTAGATGCTAATCTATAATGCCTTGGATACTTAGAAAGGAGGAAGATAGCACCCAAACTGTCAGCAAGGTTCCTTGGGTGAATCTGATATCTTTTATTTGACCAACCCAAATAGTTGGAAAATAATTATTAAGCAAGCTTTTGGGTTCAAAAACCCTTCGTCAGGCTAAGGAAGTTTCAGCAGTTGGTATGTGCTCTTCCTGGTTGGAATGAAAATAATTGCTTAATAATTATTTTCCAACTATTTGGGTTGGTCAAATAAAAGATATCAGATTCACCCAAGGAACCTTGTCTGCCTATGTCCTTAGACAACCTACACCCCTGTAACTGTCAGCAAGTCATTTTAGGCTTTCCCTTCCTGTCTATACCCCATATATCTGTACATAGCTTACTCTAATGCTCATTTCCTGATTTGGTTTGTTTAAATTTCTTTGCTTCACTGAGGCAGGCAGTGTTTTTTGAGTAGGTGTCATATCTTTTATTAGACCAACTGAGTAGTTGGAAAAAAGTTCTTAGCAAGCTTTTGGGCATATTCACCCTTCTTCAGGCATAGGGAGTCTGGGAACAGGACTGAACTAGTTTTTATGGCCTTGAAGGGTGGAATTTACATCCTTGTCAAAATTAGTTTTTTGGAGGGAAGATTTCTTATCTCCTTTAACCAGTTTGTAATGGTACTTGCCATGATCCTGTTTTCTTTTTACTTTATTTTATGGTCTTTGCTGATAGGGCAGCTTTGGCTTTAAAACTTAAGGCACTCAAAATAAATGTCTCTTCCAGAACAGTTGGATTTAATACATTTCATTACATCAATCATTACTCACATTCTTAAGCAAAAGCTATAATATACTGTGTTTGAATGATCTGTTAAGATTTTCTTGTATAATCTTAAGCATTTTGCTCTGTGTAATTTGATCTCTTTACTTTTTTCGCTGATCATGGTAATTGTTTTCTTTGCTTTAGCGCCCCTAGTTGTAATGTGCACAAAGTTCACTCTTTGGTTAATTGGAAACGGGCTTTTTGGCCTTCTGTTTTAGTTGCCCTTCTGAACATGTCCTAAGCCCCTTGAAAATGGCCAAGTCTAGCAAAACAACACCAATATAGAGAGTCTAGAAAAATCTGGAAGCTTTGAGCCAGTGCTGACTATGTAGAAGATAATGTGGTTCGAGATCATAGATCTGGAGGCTTCTATCCCAAGGACATTTGACAACCAGATATGAAAGTTATTGTACAATGTAAGTTAATTTCTAAGTAATCTGAACCCTTTTTTAAAAACTGAATTCAGGCCCCTATTTAAAAGATTTTGAGGTTGTATAAAATGTAGGGTGTTCAAAAAGAAACTTGATAGACTGAGTGAATTTTCCAGGCCTAGAGACATGGTATCTATTTTTGGTATGTGTTAAGCAAATGCACAAAAATATTTCCCAGGTGCTTCTGTTCATCATCACAGCTTTCTTACTACTATGGTTAGATGAAATGGGAATGGTTTTTTTAGAATGATATGGGGAAAGTTTTATGCAAAATATTTTATTGTCGGTAGTTTTGTTGAGGTAAGAACTTTTTAATGAGGTGATCTCAGAAATATTGTGGTACTAAAAAGAAGGCATTGTTTGTTCATTTTATATTAAATTCCAGATGGTATGTACAAAGAGTTCCTAAGCCTCTCACCATCATAGTACAAATTTAGATTAAAATCTGGTAAAACCTGTGGTTTGTTCAGCAAAGCACTGGGTCTCTTAAAGTTAATCCTGTGCTCAAATGCTTTGCTGCACTATAGCCATAATGATTAAAAAGAGGATCTGATTTGTATAGGATTATTTGTCTACTTTGGTCCTGATCCTGTGAGGCATTGTAACCTCAGTTCCTGTTCCTGGTAAGTGTGATGCAATGCATAAAATACTGGTGTTGGTGAACTTTGGGGGAAACAGCTTTTCAGCAAATCAGTCCTGGAGCAAATAAAAAGCATGGGAGCGTGGCATGGCTTTTTGACCTAGATAACAGCTTAATTTAATGATTTCAAAAATATATTCTTAATCTTACTGTTAATTGTGACACATCAAGAAATCTCATTGTTAACCATAAAAAGACTAATGCTGTTCTATGCTCAAAGATGCTGGAAGGAGGTGAATGTAATGCATGCTTGATTATCTCTTTAGTATTTGTTTCTTGTTTCTTTAGTATTTTTAAGTTCTTAAAACATTAACATGTTTAAAATATATTTTTCATATGAATTATTTTTACTTGGTGGAAAATAGGATTACATGATCCACAACTCCCTCATTATAGGTTGCATATTAATTTTAATAATGACTTCTTAAATTGGTATTGAGAGACCTGACTGCTTGTTTTCTTTACAGTTTGTTGCCCAGTCTAACTGTCAGCAGTTTCTCAATACTGTATGGTTTGGACAGATGGCAGGCTACCGACGCAAACACACTTGTAAGAAGATTTTGACTGTTTTGACAGTTGGCTTTTTTTGGCCAGTGCTGTCCCTCTGTTACTTGTTAGCTCCAAAATCACGAGTAGGTCAAATAATTCACACTCCTTTTATGAAGTTTATTATTCATGGAGCTTCATATTTCACGTTCCTGTTGTTGCTTAACTTGTACTCACTTGTCTATAATGAAGATAAGAAGAACACAATGGGGCCAGCACTTGAGAGAATAGATTATCTTCTGATAATATGGCTTATTGGTAAGTAACAGATGGATAAAAAGTGTAAACAAAAGGTTCTGACTGATCCGGCAATGTTTGTACTGCTCCTATAGGATATCAGAGTTCCACTCAGTGACTGGTGCCTGTTAGCTAGTTTGAAGATAAACCGTGATAGGAACAACACACTTTCAGAGACAGAATATGATCTGCTGTAAAAGCAATCTCTAGTTATCAAAGAAAGTTAGCATGTCCAAGTGTACTAGGATGTAACTGGACAAAGGGGTCTGGGGCTGCTACTTCAGAATTCCTACTAGAATGCTCTTTCAGCCACAAATGAAGTGACATGTGGTTTGGGATATTGAGATATCAGTGTGGGAACTGTGGTTCTTCACAGTGTTAGTATTTTTAATATTTACTTAAAGAAAGTATGTGCACTTCTAATTGTGAATAGCTACATTTTCTGTAATAGATAGCAGGGTATAGCCAATGATTTGTCTTGAATGTCAAATTGAAAAGTATAGGTAGAAGTATTTCCGAAGTAATTTTATGTTTTCAGTGCTTTCATAACTAGGCAATTTTGTTTATGGTGGGCTGTTTAGTCAGTTGTCTGAGACAGTAATTGGTTTGGTTTTTTTTTAGTCAGTCACCTATAAGCAGCTGTTTAAATTCTGCCAAGCCCTTTGAGCTTCTTTGTTTTTTGTTTTTTATATTCCTGTAAAAAAAAAAAATAAATAAATAAAAATATATATATTCTCGGCTCCCTTCTCCATTTGGAATTATGCTAGGGTATATCAGAATTGCAGTGCAACTAGTTAAAGCTTTAGAAGGTGGAGAAAAAGACCACTAAATTATTATTATATGCCATTGGAAATAACAAATTCAGTTAAAAAAATTCAGGTGCTTTATGCAAGTCAGTACAATTTCTCCTAGTTACTGGTTCTTGGAATAAGTATATAATCAAATTCAATCAAGTCTTAATATATTATCTTTTTACTTTACAGTATATGGGTCTCTGAAGACCTGAGGACCCCCCTGTACATTCCCCTTGTATTGACAGATCTCAAAAATTTTTTTATTTATTTTTGGTCAAGTGTTAAAATGGTGAAAAATCTCTCATTTCAAAGGGTTTAAATATGAGTCCTCTCCAGCCCTTCATCCTGCCCTGTTAAGAAGGATGTAATGGATTGGAAACAAATTTCTTATTTATTATTACAGATTGTGATCAGCAACATGACCTTTCACCTCTGCTTCTGTAATATTTGACTGTTTTTTCATGTTGTATGAAGTAAAACTTAAAGTCACTACTAAACTGGCAAATGGTTAAAAGAGACCATTTTTAGCCCTTTCAAGTAAATCCTTTTATGTTTAATATATTTGAAAACCTACTGACTTTTTCATACTCTTTCTCCTTTTGTGTTTCTAATGGTATTTTAAATATATTCCTTTTGCATGTGCTTCCTTTTTATACACCAGTGTCTTCTATAATGTCAGCACATCTGACAGAATAATATTTACAAGCTAATTCTGGTTGGTGCAGAGCCAGTAGAGGGAGCACAGGTACCACTTTTGGATAGACTTGACCCTGTAAACTTTGACTGATGTATGAATTTCTCAGCCCTTTTTAAAGGTTCTTTGTTAAGTCTAGCAGCTTAAATGTAGGTTAATTCTCAAAAGATAATATGTAAAAGGAATATAGACTGATGCGCACGATCTGTATACTCATTTGTAGGAAGTTTTTAAAATAAAGAGTTGTAAAAGTTTTATATTTTTGCTTAGATGCTGTTGCTTTAAGCAAAAATCCTTTTACAGTGATTCTTTTGAGTAACTGGATAACTAAAAATACTCAATATTTCATTAAAATTTCTAAAACTGCACCTGTACTAAAAAAGTACTGTGGTGTACATAAGTACCAGAGCTTATATAAGGGTAGATGTTAATAAGGATCATTCTTCCTTCCAGAATGAACAAGTTAGTAATTCCCTGTTCCTAGTTCTAGGGAGTAGAAACTATTCTAACATACTTTACATAGTTGATTATATTTAAAATAAACTGTCTTTTCCAAGAATTTAAATGCATTTGGAAATCTAGCATAAGCATAGGTTTTATGAAGGGTTGAAAAGGGATTTGCATACTTGTGGTAAGGTTGTAAGTGACTGATGTGGCACCAAGACTCATAACTCTTACCTATTTTATTAGGATTATTGCATCTTAATATTTATATTAAAATTATATAAGTGCATTACTTACATTTTTTCTTGCAATTTGGTCATTGAGTGATGCAAAGCAATACATTTAATTGCGTGTATAACTTGGTAGTGTGCATATGTGATTTTCAAAAAATACCGAAATTAACTAGGAGAAAAGGAACAGTGCTGATTTCTTCTAATCATTAACTAACTTAATCTTATCTAACTTTAAACTTTGAGATGGTCAGTAATCTTCACTGAATCAATAGTATAAAATAGCCAAAATTCTGTATTGACTTTAAGACTCAAGTTAAAGTGAGTTTTGCATAGAGCTAGATTCATCTTTCAAAATGAGGAATAGTGTTACCTCACCATTTGAAATAAGTGACTGAGAACAACAACCTGTGTCCCTGGATAGATTTTTCCAGACAAATAATTGATGCTGCAGTTCTAAGGCTGCTTTTTACCTTAAATACTTTTTGTATAAAGTCCTAGGTCAGTTCAGTTACACATTGAAGAGTTAGGGCAAGACCCGAAACTAGGAAGAATGAAAACTTACATAAGAGTCTTCTACGAAAACTGTGGACAGCATGTGTTTTTTTGGTCTGGCTTTAATCTTGCAACATTTGAACAGAATTTACTGTGCAACAAGGAAGGTCATGCAGACTCTCTCCTAGATTATTTATGTTTGCTTTTGCTGGACCTCATTTATTGAGAACTTGCAAAATCCTGCAAGGTAGGCCAAATCCAACAAATGTTAGTTGCCAGAAATGTAAATACTGCTTTTCTCCTTATTTTTAATATGGTAGCAAGCATCTGAATTGTCCAAATACTCAAAAGAACATTAAATAATTGTACACTTAAGATCCACAGATAATCAGCAATATTTCAGAAAAATGTCTTTTCAGGTTTACGGATTTTCCAGTTCTAATATGCATATTTAGCTAATAAAATGCAGTCTGGCTGAAATTTTCTTTATAGTGGGTAGTAGTAAACAATGGGTAGATTTTAACAGCACATCTTTAGTAGGGAAAAAATAGCCATCTGAAAAGCCCTATATTCATTTGTGAGTTTGTGGTTCTAAATGAAACTTTTTTAACTTTTGTAAATTCGGAGCTCCCTGTTTTTTGATTATGTATGGAAAATTTCTATTGAATCACTAACCTTACTTAAACAGTTTTGAAGCTGCTTTTTTCCTGGCACATTTTCTAATGCAGTCCCAGAAATATGTCACGTTATTCTGGAAATGTGTGGATAATTACTTTTTGGGGAAAAGCTGACTTTTAGAAAGGCAGCTATATTTTGGTCCTGAAATATTGTTTAAATTAGATGCATTTAATAAAGATTTTTTTTTTTAGGGAAGTACCAGTAATCTTGAGGCAGTTAGGTATTTTGCAGCTCTCTAGTTGTTGAACTTTTATATTTAAACAAACTCAATCCTGTTTAACAATTATTGTACAAATCCCTCTTTTCTTGTCACTAAAATACTTTGAAATCAGGTAGTCCTTCTCATTTTGTGAAAAACCAGTCGGCAGATTCTGCTACTACCAGTAAAAGAAAGTGTGTACAACGTAATGTAGTAACATCTTCTCTCGCTCTCTTTCATCTCCTTCCCACCACTTCTTTCTCCTACAGGAATGGTGTGGTCAGACGTTAAAAGACTCTGGTATGATGGCTTAGAAGACTTCTTAGAAGAATCTCGTAATCAACTAAGTTTTGTCATGAATTCTCTGTATCTGGCAACCTTTGCTCTCAAAGTTGTTGCTCATAACAAGGTAAACACCCACTCTGTATATTACAGGCACATTTGGGACTGATAAAGCAAACAGTTTTTTACTTTGTTTACCAGAAATGGGGGGGCTGTGGGGAAGCAACAATCCAGGCCCAAATACTTACTGCCTTGACTCTGATCCCCCCCTGCCCATACTTCAGTACTGATGCCAAACATATGCATGTGATGGGCTAGCTTCCACTTGAGATTGAAATTTGCTCTGGATTACTGTTGTTCTCTATAACATGTAAAGATGTTTTGTGTCATTTGCTTAGATCCCTGTCTATAATGGCACTGCTTATGAGTCAGTTACACTGACCCTGCTATTATGAGAGTTAATACTGACCTTTGTATTTAGAATTCCTAACAGTTTTCTTTACAGAAGACACTTTTTTTTCCCCTAAGAAGCTCCTTAGCACTGCAGTTGGTTGCAGCAGACTTTTTTAAAAGGAACAGTGAGAGAGCCCTGGGTCAGAGAAATTTTTTCCCCATGAAATTCCAGTAAGGTTTGGCTGAGGCATAACCTTTTAAAATGGCCATTTCCTTTCTGTTGCTTGTGTTGTCGGTAGTAATTTGGTACCATACTAACAAATTCTGGACTATTTCAACAGCAGCTGACAATATTCTTGAAAACCAGTGTACTGTCTGTTGGGGTGGGGGGAGAGGCAGGAGAAGAGATTTTGTAGGGAAGGAATAGTGATAGAGCCTTCCATTTCCTTAGAGAGAGGCAGAGAAAATGCCAGGCTGGGCTCTACCAGAGCTATAAAGATCATCTAGCAATGAATGCTTTATCTATTGTAGGCTTTGAATAGTGTGCAATAAATAAGGTGACCATTTGCCCAGACATAGCATGTCTGCAGTGTTCATTCTGCTACTGAAATAACTGAATTAACTTTCTTCTACTGCTGCCAGTTATCTTGTAGCTCAAGATGCACCAGACCTCACCCCACTGGTGAGGCATCATGGTAGGATAGCTGGTGCTTTTACAGAATAGGATTTGTTTTTTATCCTTTTTCTCTCTTAAAAACATGTCAAGTGTAAATATTTTGTATATAATTGCCTAACTTAATTTTTATCTAACAAACACTGAATTCTGTCGAGGCATAGTAAGGCAAGGGACTACAGAAAAAGAAAGGGTAGCTTTGTGCTTACAGCAGTGAGTGCCAGACAGGAAAACTCAGTTTTATTCTTGCTTCTGCCATAGCCGTGTTGTGTGATACTGGGTAAATCACTTAGGCCACCTGCCAAAAGTTTGATTTCTTTTTTTGTATTTCTTGCTTTTGTGAGTGTTTGGTTTGAGTCCAGTTGTAACCTGATTTGTAAAAGTGCTGAATAGAAGTCACTGGGGGGGCTCTGAGTGCCTAATAATTCTGGCAAGAAAGCAGTGTGTTCTGGAAGAATTGGCTGAGGTGGGAGTCAGGAGGTACTGAGTTTTAATCCTACCTTTGTCACTTCGGGACCTCAGGCAAGCTGGCTATTTCCTTTGGTAGAAAGCAAGGATGGGAATGTGCTCTGAATGACGTTGTAGGTGTAGAGATACATTTTATTAAAATTTCTGAGTGGTACAGTAAAAGCTGTGTTATCCGGCACTTTACCATCCAGAATGCTCTATTAACTATGGCACTTGCCATAGACGGCAATACAAATCTTCCTTCATGTATCTGGAAAAATTCTGATAGCCATCCGGCATCTTGCCATGCGCTTCTCATAGATCTGTTGTTTATGGCAGTGGTTCTCAACCTTTGGTACCTTACGTACCACCTACTAATCGACATGACAAACCGAAATGGGAAATCCCACCGTGGCACTTACGGTTTTGCTGCCGCAAGCCGATTCCAACTTCTTCCTTGTGGACCACGGCCTGGGGCAGAGCAGCCTGCGTGGGGCTTCCCTCCCTGTCCCCCAGCACACTGATGCCAGGGAGTGAAAGCCCTGGCGCACTGGACACAGTGGGAGGGACAGTGGCCTGAATAGGCAAAGAGGCCTCCAACCCACTGGGCTGCCAGTTAACTCTCAGGTAACCGGCATATTTGATTAACCGGCACCCCGCATTCCCCATGGATGCCGGATAACAGAGCTTTTACTGTACTTGCTTAGTAGTAACAAACACCCCAGAAAGATCATCTAGCAATGGGTGCTTTATCTACTGAAGGCTTTCAACAGCCTGAAGTAAATAAGGTAGAGGTGTCTCATCAAAAGATAGAAACGAACATTCTGAAGAACTTCCTCACTTTCTGACTATTTTCTGTCCTGGGCACTGAATAAGGCAGAGATGTTAGGGGAAAACTAGGACAATCATCTGATGAAGTAAGCCCTGTGCTTCTGAAAGCTTACATCTCTGATTAGTTAGATGCAAATCTACCCTGCTGTTTGCCTGTAAATAATGACCGCCTTAATGTACGTGCACAAGGTGTTTGAATATACATTGTACAAGGCTGTAATAGTTTGTTGAAAGCTGTCAAATGGAAGATATTTGACAGCTTTCAACAAACTAAAAGCTGTCACTTTTCAGCTTTTTTGACTCTATCAAGCTATAACTCAGAAGCCAGCTGGTGAACTGCTTTTTCTCTTCGTTGGAAAGTCATACAATACATCTCAAAATCTTCTACAGCTGCTGCTGTAGTACTGTTGAGCTACATGCAGTTTGCAAATATGACTCCTAACTAAGATAAGAGAATGGAGGAGTAACTGGATCTAGTGCATTGTCTCTGGTATAATAGATGTGTACTAATGCTGAGTAAGGCCCAGTTGTATCGCATGTAGGCAGTTTTGTTTCAGATGAAGGCTAAAGATACTTTCAGCCTTGTGTTTCCCCATTCTTTCCTAGAGGAAAGAAATGAGTTTGTTACTTGTACTGCCTGACTTGGAGGAGCTGCGGGACTTCTACTTTTGTCTATAAAAAATGCTTTGAGGATAATTCAGCGTTTTTCCCTAGTGTTGGGAATTCTGAGGTGATTCATTACTTTTTGTTCTGGTATCACCTCAACCTACAGTGTTCCTCAGAGTATATCTACACTGCATCTGTGGGGAGCCCAG